GCATCACAACACAGCAAAGTATGCAATGCAATTTGAATATTCACACTAAGTTGGCAAGTTGATGGAAATTACAAGGGGTTGGGTGGGACATCTTTTCAGTAAGATGCTTAGTAACTATAAGGACAATAAGAAAAGTACAAAATGAGAATAGAAAGTCATCAATAATTGTGCAAGTGCTCCAGATTATAACATAAAACAAAAGATTTAGTGGAAGACAAGAGTCCATACCCTTATAAAAGATAATCTGTTACCCAGTGGACCAAAAAGAAAAGGAATCTATCTTTTAAAAAATTTAACCACCATTAAAGAATATATGATGGATTTCTTTGGAGGTAGCTTCTTGGCAATTAAAGGTTGTTTTAAAAACCTTTAAACAACTAATAGCTACAGGGGCCGACGGAAGTCCCGTTCACCAACTCCAATTGAAACAATAAAAAACTCTAGAAATGGTAGAGACCGATGCATAATAATGTAAAAGAAGATTTTAACCAAGGATATATGATAAAGTTATAAAGGAATTTTATAGGAAGCAGCTTCTTGGCAATTAGGGGTGCTTAAAAAACTTTAGAAATAATAGATAACAATGCACAATAAAGTGAAGAGAGACCTTGTGAATGAACATACCATTAAAAGAAGAGTCATGAAATTTACCATTCACCAACCACAATTGAAACAATAGAAAACTCTAGAAATGGTAGAGACCGATGCACAATAATGTGAAGGGAGAGTTTAACCAAGGATATATGATTAAGGAATTTCATAGGAGGCAGCTTGTTGGCAATTAAAAGTGCTTAAAAAAACTTTAGAAACAGCTAGTAGACAATAATGCACAATAATGTGAAGAGAGACTTTATGAACAACCATACCATTAAATGAAGAGCCATGGAAATTACCGTTCATCAGTTATAATTGAAATAAAAATGTTTTATTTTATTTTTTTAAAAAAATATTGTGTAGTTTTTTAAGCTATACATAAATTATTAAACAAATAATAAACTTTTAATATTTGAATTATCTTTTTATTTAAGGTTTGTTTTTGGTAACCTAATACAATTAAAATAGTAAAATAGAAATTTTTATTTTATTTTTTATATGTTTGCATTCACTATTATCTTTTTTTTGTTGAAACATATAATCAAATTTTATTGTTCAAATAATGAAGAGGGATCGTTGAGTATATACGAGGTTGGTCCAACACCAACAATTCTCTAATTCGTTCAAAATTGGAAATCAAATTGGATTAAGCATTTAGAGAAAAATAAAAAACTACAAATCAAGCTCATTGACAGGAAACAAAAAATGAAAGAGCAGAGACATGGGAAAAAAGAGAAGATTGCACTCTTAACAAGGGAGTTGGAACAGTTGAGACATAGGAATCAGTATGATAGATTAAAGGTCTTAATTTTTATGAATGAAACGAGAAGTCATTAATAATCAATTTGATAGCATACATATATATATACACACACAAAAAGTATTATTAGTTACAATTATTAAGTTAAATATAACGAGATATAACTATTAGTTCTAAATTAAAAAATGTTTCCAATATTAATATGTATCGTTATGAATATTAATTACTTATGAGGGCATTTTTTCATCCTATTAAATACAACTATGGTATTGGGTATTACAAAGGAAAGGAAAAATAAATAAGCTCTCTAGAGGGTTGTTAAGAGATTGAATTTTATGTTTAAAATCTTAAATTTACATGATTAAAAAGGAGATGATATCACTTATTGTATATAAAAAAATAAAATAAAAATGAAAATTATGAGCAGCAACGAAGAGGCTGGGGAGAGGAAATTGGAGGAAATTAAAGCGATTTTGACTGCCACTCAGAAGACAACCAGTAGTGACCAGGAGAGGTTGGGACGTCTTTTCTCTAATATGCTGAAATGGTGTAATCTTATTCGCTTCGCGTCTTTAGGCTAGGGAGTAGCAGTGTAGCCTTCCACCATAAGTCTTTCTTTATGTTATATGAAAAATAAGGAAAAGGGGAGAGAGAATAAAGGGTGACGGTTGAATTTTAAAAGAGTCTTTCTTATGTTAGCTAGGGGTAAATTTGTCATATTAAAAAGGTGAAGAATCGTTCATCAAATACGCCTCCTTTTTTACTATATGGTTAGTTCCTACCATATAATTGAAGTGCTGCCCTGCAGGTCTCCTCATTTCTCTCAAATTGCTTTCTGCTTGCTAACTCTCTCACTCTGCTTAGGCGACATGGCTGAAACTTTTCTTGGTCCTGTCATAGAAGAGGCCCTTTCCAAATTAGCATCTTTTACTGCTATACAGATCCGCTTTGCATGGGGTTTGGAGAAGGAGTTGTCAAAGCTTCGCAATTCACTCAACCTGATTCAACTTGTGCTCCAAAATGCTGAGGAACAACAAAGTGAGGCGGCAATACGGCACTGGCTACAGGGGCTCAAAGACATTGCTTATGATATGGTGGATGTACTGGATGAGGTTGAATATGAGGTACTCCAACACAAAGTAGAGGCTCAAAGCCAAGTGAAACGGGTGCGCAACTTTTTCTCTCCCTCGAATCCCATTGCATTTCGTTTCAACATGGCTAATAAAATTAAGAAGATTAATGAGTCTCTTGTTAAAGTAAGAGATGATGCAGTTTTTACTACTCTTCTTGCTACAAACAAAAGCCCCCGGGTTGGCAAATCCCAGCCTGCTACTCACTCCTTTCTAGATTCAAAATTTGAATCAAGAAGGGATGAGGATGTCACAGAAATTGTTAACCTGTTGACTGAACAAAGGAGTCATCAGCATACTATCTCTGTCATTTCTTTGATTGGCATGGCGGGAGTTGGAAAGACAACTTTAGCAAAATTGGTGTACAAAGAAATTGAAAAGAGAAAATTGTTTGATGTAGTAGCATGGGTGTGCGTTTCTGATGATTTTGATGCACAAATAATTTTAAATGGGATGTTGGAACATCTTGCTCGTAATGCTGGTGTAATAAATAATATGAATGTTTTGCTCAAACTACTAGAAGAAAAAATAGAAAAGAAAACTTTTCTTCTTGTTCTTGATGATGTGTGGGAGGATAATTCCAATACTTGGGCTACTTTTAGTGATCTTTTGTCAAAATTTGTGAAAACTAGTGGGAACTCCATTGTTGTAACCACTCGTAAGGAAGGGGTGGCATCATCCATAGCCAAGTATCTTCCTTTGCATAGGCATCATTTAAAAAGGCTATCAGATGATGATTGTTGGTTGATAATAAAAGAAAAGGTTTTTGGATCTACAGAGGCATCCATAGCTAATCATCAATTAGAGGCTATTGGTAGGGATATTGCAGAAAAATGTGGAGGCCTGCCATTAATTGCAAATGTTTTGGGAGGGACAATGAGTAATGTACAGGGAGTAGATGGGTGGTTGTCTATAAAAAATAAAATTGATTGGAATTTAGAAGATAGTGATCAAATAAAATTTGTACTTAAACTAAGTTTTGATCACTTGCCTTCACATTTGAAGAAATGCTTCTCTTTTTGTTCAATTTTCCCAAAAGATTTTCTTTTTGAAAAACATGATTTAGTTCAGCATTGGATGGCTCAAGGATATCTTCATTCATCTAGTCAGGAAATTATGGAAGATATTGGTAACAATTATGTCATTGATTTGTTATCTAATTCCTTGTTCCAAGATGTTCAAAGGGACAGATATGGGAATATCACACACTTTAGGATGCATGATGTGGTGCATGATCTTGCCCTGTTAGTTTCAGAAGGTGAAACATTGATTTTGAAGAATGATTCCATCCATGAAAATTCTTTCATTCAACATCTGAGGGTCCCATCTGGTGCAGTAGTGGATCCAACTATCTTGAGAGGTGTTGCTCCAAAGTTGCATTCATTGTTCTTAGAGGTTGATTTCTACAGCATGTCAAAGGTGGATCTTAAAAGCATACGGTCTTTAACTTTAGAGAAAGCAGATGGTGATAAACTGCCAGTTTCTCCAAGCAAATTGAAGCATTTGAGATACCTTGACATGTCAGGCACTAAAATCAGGGCACTCCCAAAATCCTTCACGAAGTTGTATAGTTTGCAAACCTTAAAATTTATGAATTGCTATCATCTTCAAAAGCTGCCTGATGGGGTGGAAAATCTGATCAGTTTAAGACATTTTTATTTTCACAATGACAAGCTCATGCCAAGAAATATTGGGCGTTTGACTTCCTTGCAAACCTTGTCATTATTTGCTGTGGGCAAAGAAGAGGGATATCATATTGAAGAACTTGGATGCTTGAGTCAACTCAGAGCATTGAGAATATGCAACCTTGAATTTGTCAAATCTAAATCAGAAGCCACCAAAGCAAACATGGAGCAGAAGACAAAATTGTATGAGTTGCGATTGGAATGGGGAAGAAACAAAGAAGAGGGTGACAACAGCTATGAGGAGGTTCTAGAAGGCCTTCAGCCTCCCTCAAATTTGAAAAAATTAAGTATTGCTGGTTATATGGGAGAGAAGTTCCCGTTATGGATGGAGAAAGGTGTCAATTTATCTGGTGATGCATTTTTACTCAATCATCTACTGGAATTGCGATTATGTGGCTGTGATGAATGTATGGATATTCCTAGTTTGGGATTTTTGCCTAATCTCCAAGTTCTTAATCTGTGGAGTATGGAAAAGGTGAAACGTATGGGCAGCAAGTTTTATCTTAACAGAAGCAACATTGCAAGTACTAGCCATGGTGGAGTTGACACAATCACACTGTTCCCAGCTTTGAAAAATCTCAGTATACGCAACATGGGAAGCCTAGAGGAATGGGTAGAAATAGAAGGAGTAATTGTGTTTCCTTGCCTTGAGCAGTTGGCAATTCGGTGGTGTCATAAGTTGAAGACTTGGTCGATGGGTGGATTTGCATCTCACCACAAGCTCTCTATGCTAGAGATATCTGGTTGTTCAAGTCTTGTGGCTATCCCAAGCATAGATGGGCAGCTCTCTCTTAAAACATTATCAATTAGTAGCTGTCCAGAACTAGTTTGTCTAGAAAATGGGCTAGATACCTGCACTTCTCTCCAGTACTTGAGTATTTGGCGATGCCCTAATCTAATTTCTATTGCACAAGATATGGGAAGATTTCATT